ATGATCGATAATTTGATAATTTAAGCTTCCTAATTAAATAGCTGGTTGGAACAAAGTTGTTTCTATCATTGGACAATGAAAATGGCAATGGGCCCATTCCATCCTAACATAAATCTGGCCCAAAATCAATTTAAGTGTTTTTGGGCCAGAAGTATGTTTGATTCCAACGGGATTCAAAAAGTCCCTTTTTTTTCAGTTTTATTAAAAAAAAGTCAAGTCAATATATTTGGTTGAACTAATAAATTAATACCTTGATCGATTCAATAAAGTACCTTATTTATGAAAATTCAACCACAATTTTAACTATTAACATTTGAATGAATGCTTGACTAGGTTTAATGATTAATATGTTTTTCAATAGCTTGATTAATTGAGAATAACAAAAACATGAGATGTGACCAAAGAACAAAAACTAATAAAAATATCAACGGCCATAATCAATGGCATATACAAGGTTCATGGCCTTATTAGAGATCTCAACTTAATTTCTAATAGAAGGTGACAAAAAAGTAAAACAATATTGTTCAGGGGCAAAGGGAAGGGATCGGGAACTAATAAAGACCACGGCCTCCCAGCTTTTTAAAATTTTCTTAATATTATATAAATATTATATACTTTCAACCTCCTAAAAGTTAAAAAAGCATTATAGTATATGTATGTTTTAATCTCAGTCTCCTTAATTTTTAATTTTAACTTTGCCCCTGGTATCAATCATCCCATTTGGGGTGCAAGCCTCATTCTCATAAAACCATTGTCAGAAATGAGAAATGATTGGAAATGGGGGGAAAAAACAAATGATAAGTAAGAACAATTAAAAAAACATCACATCTTAACCTAAACTTACATTTATGTGTTTTTCTCTTTATTCCATCCATTAAGTTCAATTTTGTTTGGTATGAAACCTTTTACATCAGCTCAGTTTCACTTACACTTAAATAATCTAATGGTCCTCCATAATATCATTAGCCTTCTTTTATAAAGTGATAAATTATATTATATTAAAAAAAAGGTTACTAAAAATGAACCAGAAAGTTCGCATGACACAACATATAGAGGAGACATCGAACAAACTATACTACTACCCACCGAATTAAAAAAAAAATGTTCGTCATATCCTGCATGCACATGTATATGAATATGATCCCAAAACTATATTAGATCCTTTAGCTGAATTTAAAAGTGAAAATTAATTTATCATTAAAGTTTGTATTGATAATTAATAATGTGATATCTGTAATTTTAATCTTTTTTATTTCATTATCTGTTAAAAGCTTGGTGGTATTTTTATTTAATGTGAGTACATATCATATGACTCAATTTTGAAATCTCATGATAAACTGATTTAACTTCTTCAACCAATTAAATTAAGTAATAGTCAATATAGTTTTAATATTTTCTCATGACTCTCCAATAAAAGTTAACCAAAATATGCTTACACACAAAATTTAAAATTTAAAACAAATTGTAATGTACTATTTATAAAGTATAAATCGTGAATAGTATCAATTTTCAAAATTAGTGTAATGTAATATACTAAATAATAATAATAATATATGAAAAAAAATGTTGATAAATCCTGCTACTAAAAAAAGTTAGATTAGTGAGAAAATTTAGCGAAGCCTTATATATTCCTTTCTAAATAGTTGCATTAGCAAAAATTTTTGTAAGAAAATTTAATTTCATTTTCAAGAAATTATTTAGTGAAAAAATTTAATGAGAAATAACATATTTTTCTTTAATTTGCCTAATATGTGAGAAAATGATGATGGCATTTTTCTAGCCGAAAGTCCTAACTAAATGTATGGTTTTTGCTAAATCTTAATTTTCGTGCAGTGTGGGTTAAGTGGCATCAATTATTGCGCTTCTCTAGTTCTCTCGACGGTGGTTGACTACAAAGATATCAACAATTGGTCAACATGGAAATCTGAAATCTGTGACTGTGAACGACTTGAACAAATGGTAACTTTAAATTTTAAAATAGTAATAAATAAATTTTAAATAATAGCGCATGTGGACATTTGTCAATGACTTTTGTTTTGAGTATCTCCCACGACATAATTTTTTATTATTGTTAATCAGATTAGATTAGATTTACATTACGAAAATTACCGATTTGCATTTGGTGTTTCCGAAGACCATCGTCGAAATTCACCGTAACAATAATTCAATAATCATCATTCAAAATTCGTGTCAAAACTCAAAACTAAGATACTGGCACATAAATATTGCGACCTTATTAAACTATGAGAAAATCACAGTTACGTGTTCAATTTAATAGTAGTTACGTCTTAAAAAATTTTGTCGGAAAATAATTTTCGAAAATAAAATTCAATTTAATAAATATTATACTGTGATTTTATTTCAATATTTTTTTATGGAACGATTTTAAGATAGTATAAAATATAAAATAAATTAAGAAAGAATGAAGTAAAATTCCAAATGTTCAATTTAATAGTAAATAGGTCAAAATGTTGTTGAAAGATAGGTTGTGAACCTAGATTTAAACACTTGATTTGTAACTAAGTCTTTCATACTTATAACTGTGTGAATTACTATTTGCATTTGAGACTTAATTGTTATTAAATTGATATTTTAATATTGCTATTCCCCTCGAACTAATCTGATTCGGAATTTTTGAAAGTATCTACGTTGTACATTAATTTGGTTCTTATATAAATGAACACAAGCCCATTGATTTTATCTTTTCCATCTTCACACACCTTTTTCATTTATAAATGAACACAAAGCCCATTGATTTTATCTTTTCCATCTTCACGCGCCTTTTTTATTTATTTCTTTCAGACAAAACAATATTTCTTTTTTATTTTAAAATAAGAGTGTGTTTGGTTTAAAAAGAGAGGATAGGAGAGTTTTAATATTACTTTATTTAATTTTATTAGAAGGGAGGGGAGGGAAGGTAATAATTAATTTATTATTATATCCCTATACATTAGTTTAAAATTTTTCTTGTAGAAAATAACTTCACACCTCAATTTAAATTGCATGATTTTTTAAAAAATTCACGCTCATTCTATCATATGATAAATATGTGAAAAAAAATTAAACCAATGATTAAAATGATAATAATTTTTATAAAAAAAATAAATAACTAAATATATAATAAAATATGATGAAATATAACTTTTTTTAAAAAAATCCAATGAGGTCAGTCGATATTTGGAAGTAAAGCACAATCTAATATAAAGAATAATTTTTTTAATTATAAGTATATTTAGAATATTAAAAATTAAATAAGAGTAAAATAGTTAAAAAAGTTAGCCCCCTTCAAAAAGTCTTAATTTAAAAGGGAGCAATATGAGAAGGGGGGGAAGGAAAGGGGAGGGCCCTCCTTTCCAAAATTTCTTAATTAAATGAGGAAACCTCCAAAAACCAACTAGATATACCCTAAAAGAACAAGCACGAATGCAAAACAATGATTTTTGTAAGAGAAAGAACATTTCTGTACACTTTGCAAAACATGAGTGAACTTATTTAAACAACTCTTAATTATGAACTCTAAATGTGTACATTCATTTATGGCACTTTTTTTTGGTGAAATTTTTTTTTTCTATATTTGGTTTCAAACACATCTTTACAATTTTTTTTAAACATAGTTTGGCAGAGGAAGAATGTCGAATTTTAATATAATTCAATGGATGACCATGTTTTTTTTTTTTTTATCACATTCAACAATTAAAATATGGTAAACAAAACTTTGTCATTTTAATAAGTGAACTGATCCACACCGTCCTGTAACCAACAACTAGATCTGTAAAATATAAAGGGAAAGTACTAAGAAAATTTATGGTATTAACTTTTTAGTAAAGTAACAAATAACAAGTCACTTGAATCGGTCTATTTGACCTTAAACAATTATGGGAGATAATGCCACGTAATTAGCACCAATTAATTCATATTCAACCAAATAGAAACAAATCTTTTAGTTCCCATTTATAATATTTGAACGCTTGATTTTTCTTACGGATACCAACTCATTAGACCTAAACCATGATCAACACATTGTATAATTGCATAATTTTAAACATCATTTTGTCTAAATACTATAATTTTTAAATACTTTTAATCTTTACTGTCAATAAAATTTATGTAATCTAATAAAATGAATTAAATAAACTATAAACAATCAGGTCATTTTGGCACCCAAAATATTTTTAGGACACTGTGTCATAAACTCAATTTTTGAGTCATTTTTTAGTTAAACATTAAAAACTCTTACCAAATGTCCCGAAACACATTCACTTGAATGTCATGTGGTCAGAACAAAAAATTAACAAAAGTTAATAAATAATTTTTAACAAGTGATATATGAATAACAGGACGATGAAGTATGAAATTTTAAAAATTTAAAAATAAAAATAATACAAAATTGAGTTTCAAACACCTGCAAACTCTACACTAAAAGTTTGAAGACAAAGATAACCTTAAACCAATAACAAATAAATTTACTAAAACATAGAAATGATATTTGTAACGCTACTAAAAAGAATTTTAGCTGTTTAAATACAAAGTATTGAATTCAATGAATGCAGGAAAAAAATTCTCAATTAGATAAGACAATGCTTTGATGTGATCCAAAAATAAACAGTAATACTTAACATTAGATAGGTAGATAAAAAAAGTATTATTATTTTTTATTTCCTAAGGTTAATTTTAAAAAAAAATCTATGGACGCAAAAAATATCGGAGACGTATATTTTTATTTTATATAGCTTTCAAGCATGGTCACATACTCACGTTAGATTCTGCGCATTCCTTCCTCTCCACGGTTTCCAGAATCGTGTTCTGAGGTATTTATTTGATATTTTTTTTAATTTTTGTTTTTTCGACCGCGTTTCTATGGCTGCCTTGCAAACCAACTTTTTGTCACGCGCCATGCATGATGACCACTAAGTCACCCAACCGTACACGTGTCACGAATACATACGCGAACCTCACCAAAACAGGGTAAGGCCCGCCCCATAAAACCATGTCTCCTTTCCTCCCTCTTTCCTTCTCCTGCAAGAATGGAAAACCTGCCATCTTGCTCTATAAAATCTCTCTCGACATCACCACCATAAGTTAAAGGGCCGTAACGTTGTCACCGGATCACCTCAAGTTTCCGGTCATGTCCGCCATGAACATCGGCGATGTGAGCCGCCTCCGCCACCGCACGTTTCCGGAGCTAGATTTTCAGGACATGAAGGTGATTTCCGCCGTTGGCCGCGGAGCTAAGGGCGTCGTGTTCGCGGCAAAGAGGAATGACGATGCGTTTGGGGAGTATTTCGCTTTGAAAGTGATCTCCAAGGCTTTGATTAAGAAGAAAGCGAAGGCGATGAGCAGCAACGATGAGGGCGAGTGCAAGAGGGTGTCGTTTGAACAGCAGGTTCTTCGTCATTTTGATCACCCGCTCTTGCCTAGGTTGCGAGGGGTTGTGGAAACCGAGAAGATCATAGGGTACGCCATTGATTACTGCCCCGGCGGCAATCTCCATTCTCTCCGGAAAAAGCAGACCGAGAAGATGTTTTCAGATGATACCATCAGGTATTGTTTGTTGTCTTTTCCTGTTTGGTTAACCAGAAAATCAGGGGCAAAGAAAAGACAAATTCGAACTTCTGTTATTTCTTTTTTCTCTCGTTTTTTGTCATTTCGCTTCGTTTCCCTGCTGAATCTAAGATGTGGTCCATGTTTACGAATAACTTTTCCTGTATTTTCTCAGAGAACAACCAAACATATTCGAATTGGTGCTGAAATCTGAATTGATGATTTTCCTTTACAGGTTTTATGCTGTGGAATTGGTCCTCGCATTGGAGTATCTGCACAATTTGGGCATAGTGTATAGAGATTTGAAGCCAGAAAACGTACTGATCCAAGAAACTGGTCACATAATGCTCGTCGACTTCGATCTCTCCAAAAAACTAAACCCGAAATCTCCAGAATCCCAGAGCATCGCCTCGTCGCCGATTTCCCACTCTTCAAAGACGAAGACGATGAAGGACTTACGGAAGAAACGCTTCTTCCGATTCTACAGTTGCTCCATGCCAAGCCCTCGGTCGTACGAACCGGAAGTCTCACAGGAATTCCAGTGTGCGCCGCGGAGTGAGTCAGACTCGGTCGAGAAATCAAACTCGTTCGTTGGAACAGAGGAATACGTAGCACCCGAGGTAGTTTCTGGGAAGGGACATGACTTCGGAGTCGATTGGTGGTCACTCGGCGTCGTTTTATATGAGATGCTGTACGGAACGACGCCGTTTAGGGGAGAGAACAGGAAAGAAACGTTTTATCGGATTCTGACGAAGGAACCGGAGTTAACCGGAGAGAAGACGCCGTTGAGGGATTTGATCGGAAAATTGTTAGAGAAGGATCGTGACCGTCGGATCGATGTGGAAGGGATCAAGGGCCACGATTTCTTCAAAGGGGTTCAATGGGACTCGGTTTTGCAGATGGCGCGGCCGCCGTATATTCCGTTGAATGACGTAGGGGACACAAATGGGTTTAATAAAATTCAAGTGGAGGTATTTGTCCATGAGGTGTTCTTTGGAAAGGAAGGTGAGGAAGAAAAGGAAAAAAAGAAAGAAGAAAATAATAATGATAATGGAGAGAATAACAAGAACGTGTGGGTAGGGAAGTTGAGTCAGAATCACATTGAGAATGAGAATTTTTTAATTTTTTGAGTTTCTCTTTAACCATTTATGCATCATATGCAATACGGTATATATTCTTTTGGCGTATGTTGTACCTATTAATATTGGTTTATTTTTTTTTAGTATATATAAATAAATAATAGATAGAAATAATAAGTAGATTTTGTTATCAGTTAGTATATTATTTCTTCTTTTCTTACTTTTTATACAAGAAAAAAAATGATCATTTCTTAAAAAAACAATGAACATTGAAGATTTTAATTTCTGTGTGAAAAAAAAACTCCATTCATATGATAATTTTTTAGGTCCAACGAGACATAGTTAGATAGTGAAACTTTTACATGGATTTGAATTCTTTGAAATTGAAATCTTTAAATTTATGCTTGCTTAAAATAAAAAGAAAATATTTTACATTTTATACAAGATAATAAAAAGATGAAAAATATTTTTTAAAAAATTCACAGAAATTTATTGATCTCATAGTAGATTTAAATTCATCTTGTATCTATTCACTTTCTTTGTGTTCCATAGTATCCATTCATGCATGATAAGAGAGACAAAAAAAAAAAAAAATTTAATTCAGAACAGTTAAGTATTTTCCCCTATATTTCCTCAGAATTCTGACAATCATGCAACATGTGAACTGTAAAACTGGTAATTTATGCTAATTCAAATAAGTTTAAAAAAATTTAAAGTTTGACTACCTAAATAAAAAATTACTATTTTAAAAAAATATGTAAAGTATTTATTAGTTTTTTAAGTTTTAAGTCATAATACTAAGATATCATATATTTATCTACATTTTTATAAATATTTTTTTAAAATATAAAATATGTTTTAATATTGATTTTTAAACTTTAATACTCACAAAAGTATTTTACGTTTTTTAAGCATTCCAAAAAGTATATTTTATATTTCTTGATAAAATAAAAAATCAATTTTGAAGTAAAAATTAAATTTGTTTTGAAAATAAAAAGATTTAAAACAATCAATAATTTGGATATCCAAGCCAGCTTGAAGAGGTCAGGCTGAACTTAAATATTTGGGAGCTTAAATTGAATCTAGCTTAAATAAACTCATCTAATCTGAATTATTGGCTTTTATAAATGTAAGAATCCAGTGAGTTATGACTAAAGGAGCAAACCTTTTGGCAAGAACTAGCTTCTTCAGTACTGAAAACCCTGGTTTGAAGATGATCTCAAGCGTAAGCAGCTTTCCAAAAAAAAAAAAAATGATTTGATTCTCATGTCCAAATCGTAGACCAAATATTGGAATTGTTGTTACTTTCTTGATTTTCAATGGTTTTATATATCTATTGGCTTTGTATTATTTGTTTTCACACGTAAGTTTATCATATCAATAAGGTGAAATAAAATCATTTAACTAAACTAGTAGTAGACTTTTACATGATGAGTGATGAGCGTGATGACGAAGACAACGACGATAGAGATTGTGTCCAAAATACCAGATACACTCTTGAATTGGAATTACTGCAAAACAAAATAAAGAAAGAAATTACATAAATTATAATATATTCCTATTGAGTTTAATTTTTTTTTCTCCAGAATTTTTTTACTTTGTCAGTAATTTTCATAAATATGAATTGTAATTGTAAATTAAAATGCCATTTTAACTCAACTTTAATTTTAGTGAAAGGGGTGACAATTGCTCAAATACAAGGTCTTGAATTCAAATTCATGTGAATGAAAAAAAAAATATAAGAACTAAATAGAACTCAATAGTATTCAAGTCTAAATCAGTCATATATATATATATATATATATATATATAAAGTTGGACAAGTGATCATAGCTCTTGTGATAAGTAAAAGATTGATGGCGCAAAAAGACTTTCTTTGTACACATTGCATATATAAATTATATTATGTTTTGTACGCGTGAATAATTCAATGGTCAGTATTTTACGCCAAAAACATTTTAAAAAAAACACCTGAATTTAAATTATCTGAAATTGGGATTGATGAAAATTTTGTGAAATTTTCCTTTTTAGGAAAGAGAGAGAGAATATTTTATATTTTATAAAAAATAATATTTTTGATAATATTTAAAAAAGAAAAATTCACCTAAATTCACCAATATTAACTATTGAGAATTTAAATCCCATATTTTATTATGACTTATGAAACCACATGATAATTAAAAGGTACGTATAATGATATAAGTCACTTGCTACATTTTGTCTTATTTTATAACGTTTCACGCTGTATTTATCAAAAAATATACTCCATTTTGTCCTTTTCCCCTACCACGTTGTTTTCTTTTAGTTATTAGCTTTATATAATTTTGAGTGAGTTAAAACTTAATATATAAATTAACTCAATACTGATCCTTACAATTTTATCTTTTTAATAGAAAATATTAATTATTTGTTTAAACTTAGAATTTTAAAATAAAAGACATCAATTGCAATTAAAATGTCATGAAATATCTTATATGGGTAGTATAAACAAAATATCTCCCAAAAAATACAAAACTGTGGGATGGGTGAAGAATAATAAGAGTCAAAGGAAGCATGATGGTGTATTTGAGGCCCCATTTTAAGATTGTGGCATTATGGTGATGGAGCCATCCAACAAAGGTTGGTGGGGTGATTAGATTTAGGAATGAGGATGAGGCCTCATGACCTTCCCTAGTCACCATCATACATATATTAATCTCCTTCTTTTCAAAGCTTTTTACTATTCTTATTCCAATTTCCAAACACCTAATTTACTTATTTTACTTTCTTCCTCCCTCCCTCCTTTTCTTTTTTGTCCTCACCCCTCCGTTCATTGCATCATTAGTCCTTTAAAGTTTTTATATCTAAATCAAGAAATGCAATAAATACGTAAAAATATGATATATTTTAGAGAATTTTCTTTTTTACTTTTACATAGCATTTGTATTGGTGGATTTGGCTTTTTATTTTAGATTTAAAATCTTGTATGTCAAATACTATATTTAAAATTTATGTATTTAAAATTCTTTATTTGTGCAATTTTAAAAAAAATTCAATGAAGGAAAGAGATAAGTTAAAATTAAAAAAAAAAGAAAAATTAGAAATAATTAATTTGGCCATATTTTTCAATTGACCAAAGATAAGAAAATATATAAAAGTCATAAATATATTAAATATTAAAAACATGATTAGAACAAAAGATTTGAAGTGATCAAAATTTTAAATAATTATATAAAAAATTGAAATTTTAAAAAAATATAATAAAAAATAAATTTGAATTTGAATCAAATTTAAAGACTCTTGTGACTTGTCAATTCAAGAATTGAAAGCATGCTAACAACTATATAAATGCATGTGCATAATATATACTCTTTCTATTAAAAAATATAAAATATTTTTAATCGAATTTTATTTCTCAATAAAATGATTATTTACTTTCAAACTAACCCTATATTTTTATATTATTTTTATTAAATATCTTACAATAAATATAAAGTTATTATCAAAAGGGGCACTTTTGAAAAAAAATAATAATTACACCTCAAAAGACTTAAAAATATTTTACATTTTTAACATACAATTCCTTAAAAAATACCTCATATTTTTGAACGAAAGGAGTATTTTTTTGACTATATTATTTTTTCTCTTAAATATATCATATACGATTATTTGACTGGCTGAAAAACTTCAAACCAAGAATGATGGTATGCATAATAGAAATGCAACAACGATATTTAAAAATAAAAATTTGTTGCGGTCTATTTCAACTCGGAAAAAGTCCAATTTCAATGATCTGAAAGAAAACGTTGTTAATAAGAACAAAAGACTTACCATCAATTAGTTAAAACATAATTGAGTGGGAACAGAGATATGAACGAATTCAATGAATAACATAGCAACCACTTGACTAAAATGAGAGAGTGGAGTACGTGGAATCTACCCTCACGATTCGTTGCAAAGTTAGGTGTGGATGTAAGTCGGCACAATGTTACTATTCTATTCATTCATTCATTAATTATTACACATAGGGCTGTTCATTAATAATTTGAGCACTTATTTTCATATTATATTTTTCACTCTTTTTAAGCATATGGAGTAGTCTTTGCTCATAGCAAAGATTAAATGATTTGTTTAGGTGACTTATTTTCATATTACATATATAAGAATTGAGATTTGAATTTCCAACGACTTATTTAAATAACGAGATCATGTCTATTATTTACACAAACTTTGGTTAGTGTTATATTTTTAGTTTTCTTTGATTCTAAATACAAGATATATTTTACTAGCAAGTTTGATTTGGCCGAAAATAAATGTCATTATCTATTATTAACCAATTTTTTTCTCCAGTTACATTTGTCTCATTAATTTAATATAAAATATGTAATAAGGATAATTTTTTAAAAAAAAGCTTTTTTTAGACGATTAAGAGTAAAATTAACTTTTCTTGGAAATGCAGAGTATTATGAAATTACAAATTAGCTAAAATTAACTTACATTTATGAGGGGAGTATATTTTGTTAATTAACTTTGTTATTTTTTTCCTATTCATCCTTGTAAATACACATTTTGTAGTTATTTACTTAATTAATACTCTTCTAGTTCTATTTATAGGGTAGCAAGAGAATATTTGGTTTTATCCTGTTTATATGGCACCTCAATAATTGTTGTATCCATTTTTATTCTTTTGACCTTATTAAATACTGAGAAGATTATTAAATACTAGATTATTTTATTTTTAAGCTATATATATTTAATAGAAATAAATTTAAAAAATTATTAAATTTTTAGATAAAGTTAATAAAATTTACAATTTTTCCCAGGGGAGAATAGAATATCAAAAGGGAGGGAGAAGTGCATGGCATATTATTTTTCTTCATTGCCCCTTTTTTTCTGATTATTTTTATCCCATATCATTTTATCCAATCAAGAAAACTTGGACTAAGAAACCGTTTATTATGCATAATAAAATGAGTTTAAATAATAAATTCTGGACTCAAGAAGTCTTTTAAACACTAATAACATTTAATTCAAGCTTTGCATGTAGATATAGTAAAAATTACTACTAGAAAATATTTACATCCATATATATAGTTAGCCTCCACTTAATCCAAGTTAGTTCAAGTTTAATATGGTTTTCAATTATTATGTACAAAGAACCATTTTATAGATCAAAATTAAATGACACTCGTATCTCTTTT